CCTTAATTGGATGCTAATTCCTTTTTAAATTATTCATTCATAGGGAGCAAGCACCTGAATGGATTTCCTGAGTCATCCATTGAATATCAATGTGGTCAATTTGTGTCCACTTTCTAATGCCCAGCCCAGGTATATATGTTTATGTTTTCTTGAACATTTTCCTTTTTTCCCTTTTTTTTTTTTTTTGGCTGACTAATATTTGCATCCTTAGAATTAAGTAATTTCTCCATACATGTTCGTGCAGGCTCCATCTCTTACCATCTCAAACCTATTTCTTCAACTCAGCAACATTTACAGCTGAGGAAAACAAAAAAATTGGGACTCACACTCACTTCAATCCAGTGCAATCTCTGTTGTAATTTGTTGTTTTGTGCTATGGATGAACTTTGTTTAATTAATGATTGTTTAAGTAATATTTGTTTTATTTTGTATTGTAATAAGCAGTAAAACAGACTTGAGAAATTTCTTGTTTTATGTTTTGTGACTGTTAACTATATCAACTTCAACATCTTAATTTCTTTAATCACATTATTGTTCAACTCTTGTGGCAATTGAACCCACATATATATAAGTAGGCCACAGCAGACACTAGCTATGTATGTATACAATTATATACAATTATATGAATTTCTCTCATATTTATTTGACCTATCAATTTAGTTAAACTCTTTTGTGGATAACTTGACAGTCTCTGTAACTTACTTTTAGATTTTTTTGCAGCCAACACACCCATATTTGGAGATCAACAATTATTTTCAAGTCCAAAATAGTAAGCCGAATTTAGAATGATTCAATTTGCTTTCTTGCCTCTGGCTGCCTCTACACTAGTAATTAGTTGATTCTATTTTTCTCATCCAAATATCAAGTGGTTTTAAAGGATTTGATATTGTCTTTTCACCAAAGTGCTCCTCAATTCATCTTATGGTTCTTATTTGTTTATCTAAATGTCATTACTATGTTTTCTCTGTATCACACAACCTATTGAACCATGTTGCAGGGCTCTTACATACTGCTTCTCTGAAGCTGAGCTTTAGTGCTCAGCATCTGACTTAATGGAGTTTATGTGAATTGGATATATATGAGTTGGTATAGTTGGCTTATTGTTCAACTCTTGCAGCCGTTCAACCTATACATAGGCCATAACAGACCCAAGGTATGAATTTCTTTCATATTTGATATATTGATTTTGTTAAAAACTTTCGTGGCTAACTTGAGCGTCTTAAGTTCCCTGGTAGAGCACACTTCTGCAGCCCTTCACCGTCTTTCCTCCTGCTTTCAGATTGTGCTTTCTTCTGTACTAGCTGCCTCTACCTTCCTATTCTACACTGGTAAATTTTCAAGATTTGAGTGTTTTTAGATTTTACTTTAACAAATTCCATATGATGTGTATCTCTCTTAATTGGATGCTAATTCCTTTATAATTACCAATAACAGTGATTCATGTGTGATTATGTGAAAGTGAAAGGAATAGCAACTACTCACACATTGCCTGTACGTACCAACATTCCCTCACATCTTTTTCTAATTAAAGAATTTTGTGTAATTATTAGTTGTTCAAGAATGAAGAATTTGTTTCCCTTTGAAAAGCTGCGGGATCTTCACATTCATGATTGCAAAGAGTAATAGCATAGAAAAAAGAGAAGGAAATCAGACAATGGATGGAAGAGCTACATTCACTCTTCTAAAATTAACCTACTTTGGGACTTACATGACAAAACAGAATTGAAGAGAACCTGCTTGAGCAATGGTTTGTTATTCTCTTAACTTTCACATTCTAAGTTAACTTCTTAAACTCAATAACTTATTTAAACTTGCGAGTACCAATCCTGTTTTGTCAATTTTTTAATATGGTAAGACATGTCTTAACTCTTCTCATGATTCAGTGTTTTTTTTTTGGGGCCTCAACTCTGATTCAGCATTGCTAATTCAAATCTCACTGAAGTTTTGGCACTAGCTGAAGCACTCTAAATTTGTGCAATTTACTTCTTTTTAGTAAAATAGAGTGATCCATCAGTTGCTGTGTCATGGTCCCAATAAATTGTTAATTAATTGCTTGCACTTTTCCATCCAAGATTAATTGGTTTTAGATTCTATTTTAGAGGATTTAATATTGTCTTTTCTCCAATGTGATCATTAATGGATGTCATGGCTGTTATTTGTTAACTTGATCATTGGTACCATGTTTTCTCCATGTTGGCTGAGGGACTCTCTGACCTTATGGCAGCAAGTTTGCTTGAAGAATTGGCCATTGGGGATTTCTTTGTACAAGGATGAGATTAATGGAGGTTATATGAATGTATATGTAAGTTGGTATAAAAATTAGCCTTTTTATTTTTCTGGTGCTTTGGGTATGGTCTCATTGGATTACTGTCCTTTTGCTGTTGAAGTACCTGCCGGTTCCTCAATAGGGTACAATGTGGCTTTGCTGTGGAGTCGGATCCTCTTAGAGTTGGCAGAAAGGAATTAGCCTTTGTTTCAATAAATATAATTGAAATAGAGGTTTGCTATCATTTCACCTACTTTGATATTTCCATTTGTACAATTCAACCATCTGTTCAAATGAAACCCGGGGCATTTGAATTGTTTGATATATAGCTGAATTCAACTCTCCTGCAGAAGCCAATAATCTGCTTTTTGTGGAATCCCTGGTTAGAGTTGTGTTTTAAACCCATATTCCTTCTGCTGTCACCAAGTTTGTGGGTTTATTTGACAGGAGAGAGTTTTTGTCGGACTTAGCCTACAGTGGCCATAATTTCCTACTGAACTGCTTCAGATATCCACAAACAAAACCCAAGATTTCTTCATGTAAGGAGAGAGTTTTGCAGGCAGTAAGTTTTGGGGTTCTCTTTCATACTTGCACATATGGTTATGTAAATGCTCTGTAAATCATCCCTGAATCTTGCAGGCCACTATGTACTACAACTTGTGGAGCAGGGTTTGTCTATGATCAACACATGGACATAAAAATATAAGTTTATCATCACAAAGGTTTTATGGTAAGAATAATCCCCCATGTTTATGCTTTACTGGATTGGGGGCTAAAATTGTTCAACACCATTAGGCTGCACGTACTTATCTTATACATCTCAAGCTTACATGAACATAATGTACTAGGATGATATCCGTTGTGCAGGTAGGCAATCCGGAAGCCAATTATTATTACGATTATAGTGCATTGCCGAGATATGCTCGGACCTGTTATGTGAGACCAAACCAGCTCTACCTCAAAGCCAGACAAGTGTAGTCTTCAAAGTCTCCATACTAACTTGCCTGAACTTTGATGAGTGCAACAATTTCATGAACAAAGTCTTTGAAGAATATACAAAGATGGACATTTTCAGAAAAAAGAGAAGCATCATCAACGATTTCTCTTGGATCCATGGTAACTAGGTGGCTGGTTTTAGCATGTTCCTTGAGAATTGCAGCATTGATCTTGCTGAACTTTGGACCTTATGCGTTGCTCTCCTCCTGGCTTTAGAACTTAACATTAACAATACCAGCCACCACCCTCATAGGATTATCATCAAGAAAATCACTGGCACTACCAATGCCAGGAGGGGGAGCCCGACAGCTTCACAGCTGATTGGATGGCTAAAAATAGTCTTGAAATCATCAACTTGTGTTTGAAATCCCTTCCAAGGGTATTTTGGCTTATCATTCTTGTTGATGCTGATAGAATTGCATTCCTAGAATTACTAAAGAAGTTATACCCTTTTGAGTCTTGAAGCATGTATATCATATAAGGCTTGGCACATCAGCACTTTGTCAATTTCAAAACATTAAAATTCAAAGAGTTCAAATTCGGATCATCAATATATGTGATTTAATTTGATTCAGTAAGCAGATCGGTGTCATTTTTACCATCAAAATTTTTTAACTTTGGCTCATTTTGCCACATCTTCTACAACTTTGGTTGAGGATAAGGATATTCCATTCCCCCGCTATCTTCTTCATCCAATTTCATTTTGAATCAAAACAGCGGCAACTGGGCAACTAATGAAGAATAGAGAAAGACGAAATTAACAAAGCAGTACTTGGAAACACTAATGAATAGAAAGGGTTTTATTTTATTTTATTTTCTTTTCTTTTTTAACAATATGAAAGGTACAAAAATAGGACACTCCGCAACTCCAAAATCAGTTTGTCCAAGGTTACATGGAATTCTATACATATTACTTAACTCACACACACAAGGACAATGTGGGACAAACATCCCACAATCGGGAGGGAAAATAGAAAGGGTATTTAGCAAAAGCGAGGAACAAATATGGTAATAAATAGATATCAATCGAAATACAAATGTCGTTTCAGAAAAACAAGACGGAAATGTATATGGTAATTAAAGAGGCAACCTAATTTTTCCTTCCCTTATTTCGTTTAGAAGAAACTACAACCCAACCATCATCTGCAGCTTCAGCCTTCTGCTTGGTTTTTGGTTCATCAGTTGATGTACCAACTGCATTTGAAATTGGCCGGGAATTCGGCAAATCTACCATCATGTTTATAGTATTGTCCTCACCCATGCCGGTATTATCGTCATCATCGTCCTCATCCTCATCCTCATCGTTAAACTAGAATAAGGAAGGAATATAAAATAAGAAACATAAATTTAAGACAAAGACAATTATTTTAAAAATATAAACTTTTGGCCACTGCAAGTTTTATTAGACAAGTGGTTTCTCCATTACATCTTCCTTTGGGAACAAAAACAAAGAAAAGTCATGATCTTTTGTGTTGCAGTGTCTCCGTATACTATGAAATAATTAAAATCCACAAGCTCCCAGAAATGGAGTTACTGTTTAATCAATATCAAAATTGCAAGTAGTGAAAACACAGCCAAAAATTGAAACATATAAGACGATAAACCAGTAGAGAGAGTCTTCATCAACAGGTAGTCAACACAATTCTCTAAGCAGAGTTTAAACCAAAAATTACCTGTCTGACGTGAGTAACTGGTGAACGATTGGCTGCCCTCATTTTTTCAATAGACTGATAATTACCTTCCAAACATTCTTCATGCACAATCATCAACTGTTCTGCAACCTACAGAGGGTTTTAGAAAATCCATTATCCTTAATGAAGAAAGGGTATTAGAAACAAAAACCTGAATCCCTTCCAAAACTAGTTGCAAACTTGCAAAGTCAGCAGGACTAGAAACAAGGAAATTGTACAATAGAAGAACTGAGATGCGATCTCCATATGCATGAATTTAACTTCAAGATTGGCTCTGAACCTAAAATCTTGAGTTCATTACGAAACAGTTGAAACCAAGATAGTTCTACAAGTTATATATGTTCCTCCTCGCAATAATTCATCCAGGAAATCACAACTACAAAAAGCCTAAAGGCAGGCAGAAGCATTCTAGTTATTCCTAAGAATCTGGTCTGTAGCAATGATGTCCAAAAAGCATCCCTATATGTCTAAAATCAGAACTGCCAGGATATACTTATAATTCATCATAAAAGTTCAAATGGAACAGAAAAATAAATACCATACAAAACTAGAAATTGTAGTTCAATTCAATTCCTTGATAATGCTCATAAACACAGTCTCCCAATTCTTGAATACAATTACTTGCTGTTAAAGTTGACAAGGCAACCCTTCATTTATCAACAAGCCTCAAACCAATCTAATGAAGAAACAATGCTGCCATCCTCAGCCATTGACATACTAACTGGTAGGTATTAGAGGTATTACCTCCTCGATGCTGCCATCCTCAGCCATTGTAGTCAAAGAAAGCAGAGATTCCTCAAGGATATTTTCTAGATCATCAATGTAGAGCGGCTCTGAAAAGAATGTAATTCCCAAAATTGAATCAAACCGAAGAAACAAAAAAATTGCACTAAGAAATCATGAATAAAGATTTAGAAAATTCGGGCAATCAAAAATTCAAAAAATCAAAACGAAAGTTCGCAAATTTAATTCAGTGATGATGATCATATACAAGCAAAACTCAAAATTATTCCAGAAATACAGCCAAAAAAAGGAATGGAAAAGGAAGAATTATGAGGGAAAAGCGACAACCTTTTGAGTTGTTAAAGAAGGAGAAGACATCGGAGAGGAGTAGCTCAGCTTTGCGGCGTGAGTCGCGGCCGCCCCACTCGTTTTCGACGGCCAGTTGCAGAACTGACCACCGAGACAGGAGCAAACCTATTCCTTCCTGGAACAACGGCAACGATTCTGCCGTCAACTGTCTGCCATCCATTGTTCTTCTCTGCTTGCTGCTGTGACCGACTCGGCGACTTGAGTATGTAAAACCCTAAAAAAGCAGATGAATGCTCTTCTTCCTGGGAAGAAGAGAAGGGGTTGGTCCTCATGGATGTTCTGTTCAGGGATAAGCAAACCCAACCCATTTGCAAATGGGCTATTGGGTTGGGTAGGGTTGGTTTAGGTTATGTACCTAATCACCGAAGTCGGTCCGTTTAATTCAACCTAGTTCGACTCCGGCCCAATGGAAAAATCCTACCCGATCAAAGTGATTTTTATTATTTTTTTACAGGGTTAATGCCACCTATGTCTCTCTACCATAAAAAATAGTGCAATCTAAATCTTCTACAATGGATTGGCTACATGTCGTTACTCTACTATCAATTAACTTCACTTGTCGTCCCTCTACAATGCTAAAACATGTTAATGTCATCCCTCCGTCCAATGCAAGTTAATAGTACTGTTTATTGCCTGTTAAGTGCAACGGTCACACCGGTTAGGCTTTTTTAAAATCTTTTTTTTTTGCCACCTTGTCTTGTGGGTCCCACCCTTGCCACAACATCTCCAACTGGTACAAGGCTTTTTTTATTAGACAAAGTAGCTATGGGATGACCATAATCTAGTCATCTAGTAGGACAAAATCATTTATAAACAATTCCTTTGGAGTTTT